TTTCTTCCTCTTCTCTGATCTATATCAGCTGGGAATAACTTGGGGGATGTTCCCGTCATTCTTTTAGCTGGAGATGGAGTAGCATCGGGTTCTGATACTGAGCTCCTCTTACAATTTGAGCCAGTCTGGTCTGATCCATCTGTTCAGCAGTCACTGCACCCCTCATGACAGCTCTCTGAAGCAGTCTCTCCAGCCTCTGTATATAGGCTGAAATCTTCTCGCCAATTTGCTGTCGGGAATTAAGGAACTTACAGTAACTGTCTTCAGGGCCCCCTACGCTCCCAAAGGTATGATCAAGGGCCTCTAGGCAGTCCTTCGCACTGACCCCAGGGTCAATGAACTTCAGGGTGCGAATCACATCTAATGCTGGGCCACTAAGGCTCTCTATCAGACATCTTCACTTTTCTGCATCAGGTACGGCCCACTCCTGCAGCATTTCAGTGGTATGCTCCAACCAGGGTTCAAACTCCTCTTCCCCAGCAAATAATCTTAACTCACGACAAGAGTTTAACATAGCATGGGACAGCACAACCTTTTCCAATATTTGCCCCAATGCTTTTGCCCAATCATTGGCTGAGGCTGCGGCCCCTGAGCTAGAGGCTGCAGGGCCGGGGCCCAACAAACCTGACATATTAGCCATTATACAAACAGTAATTTCCTCAAAATATAACCACAATTATTTCCCAATGCAGTGGAACACTCAACAGGTGCTTGTGAGGGGTACTGACCCAGGGAAATCCCGGACGAGCCCCCAAAAATGTAACCATTCCGCCCATCTAAGTTGGCAGCAACAAGGGCCGGGTTCTGTATCTAGGGGTTCCGTTTCAATAATACAATGCAAAACCGGCTCGAGCCCCCACCCAGTGACCTGGGACAATTACATACCACCCCCTGGGTGCCTCTAAGAGGCAATACTTCCCCTTTCGCAAGCACGGAGTCTGAGTGTAACAGAAAATGTTTAATAACATGAGGTAAACGACATCAGCATTAAATTGGAAAAACACCACAAACAGGATTCATAACACAAACCATGAGCAAAAACCCACCCCAGCAAATTGGGCTGTGTCCTTTCCCTTTGGTTCTTGAATCCAGCAACCCAAAAATCACCCAGAGTCCCCAAAGTCCAACACCCCTGAAGTCTCTTGGGTCCAGCAACCACCCAAAGTCCTAAAAGTCCAACAGACCCCAAAGTCTCTGTCCCTGGTCAGTGCAGCCCCAGAGCAAAAGGGGAGGGGCACACAGGGTGTTAAGGGGCACCTTTCGTGATCCAAGGCCGGCTGGCCGGCTCTCCATGGGGTTCCACCACAGCCTTCACCATGAGCCAGTCCACTTCCTGCCGTCCCACAAGCTGCTCCGCTCTGCTCACCGACCTGCAAGCTGCTCGAGCCGTCCCCGCAAACAGCTCTGCTCGCTGTGCCTTAGGCCGCTCCAACCTGCCCCACAAGGCTCCGCACCGCTCGCTGCTCCTCCTTTCGTCCCCACAAACTGCTCCGCCAGCTGCTTAGCAATATAGCTTCAGGCTCCCCCACTAGTTAACACAGCACTCAGTGATCTCAGCTCTTAATAACTTCAGCTCTTAGCCATTTCAGTTCACAGTAGGGGAGCCCCAGTAATAATGCACCATTGGCCCAAAGTGAATTCAGCTCAGCAACCTGTGACTAGACTCCTAATGGAATCACAGTTAGCTCTGACATTCAACAGTGGAGAGAGAAGATAGTACAATTGATGTTTCAAACCCTCAGGTGGGATTGGGCATACCACCAGATACAAATACCCATCCTCTCTCTCTCAATTCACTGGGTTTTGTAACCCATGCCCCTTGTCAAGCAAGTGCTACTTAGGTAATGGTGAAGGACTCACTTAGTTCTTCTGTCATACAACAGTTCCACTGGTCTTGATTCACAGAATCAGGGTAACAAAACTTTATTCTTCCTGCCGCAATAACAGAGAAAACTGGGGATCCCACACCAGCCAAAGTAACCACTTTGAGTTGCTGTTGTTTCATGCCAGGCGAGTGGGTGTGCCTATGCAAACAAGATCAGCCCCTGGAGTTCTTTTCCACACTCGCTATAATTCACCACCAGATGTCAGGGTAGAGCTCATCCTGACTCTGCTTACACCTATACCAACCCATCTCTAGCAATTGCAGTAGCAAGGTCAATATCTCGTTAGCCATAGTAGTTACTGAGACAAGCTTCTACAGGAGTAGGAAACAGTGTCTTACCTACTAGGTTGGGAACTGAGACTGCACAGCATTTTAGCCTAAAGGCCAAAAGCAAATTTGCTTTAGTGTCTCAATAAGTCAAAAAGGGGGATATTTGTCTTGGCTAACTGCCATTTGGGATAGTAAATTCAGTGTTCGTTAGGAGTTCATTAATTTGGTGGAGACACCTTATGTGTGCTGATTTGAACATGTAACCTCAGTAAATAAGCCTGAGTCATGTTATTGTAACCCAGGGATGTGAAATAGGATTACATTTTATATTGGATTCTTCTGGAATTATTTGCTTAATGTCCTTATCATTTAAACTGATCAATCTATTCCTGGATATAATTCCCATTAATATTCCAGCTGTCAAGTGCCCAGTGCTGGCTGCTTCGGAAAGGGGCAGATTAAACTGCACTCACTGGCATGGAGACTTCACGTATAACTCCACCTGCGCCTTCTCCTGCGAGACGGGGTTTGTGCGGAATGGATCGGAGACAGTGGAGTGCACGGCCCTGGGACAATGGACAGGGCATTCCCCACGCTGTGAAGGTAGAGGCACAGCATTAACTGTGGGGTGTGTGGAATGTACATTGCTGAGCTGGTGAGAGCCCAGGTTACTTTCCATAGGAGCCCACTTTTTTGCCAGCACTAGGGTAAGAGAGCTATTGTGTACAATGGTTTGGAAGCCCGGGGCCTGGACCTTTTGATCTGGGGCAGCTGTGCAATATAAAGCTTCATTGAGAGAAAGTTTTGTAATTGGGAGACAATGGATATGGGTCACCATTGCCCTGCTCCTTGGGCAGCCTTTTACACCAGTGCCAAGTGAATGCCCCCAAACTCCTGGCACTACTGTCCTCTGGCTCCTGTTCCCGTTACCTTCCCCCAGGCACAACCAGCCACAGACTCCTGGCACCCCACAAACCCGGCAATTCAATAATCATCACTCCCTGTCCCTGGTGCCCCCCTCCAGACAGCTCCCCCCTCTGGCACCACATCTCTGACACGTAGCCATTGAACTCATGATGGCATCTCATCCCCCAGAGCTGCTAACACCCCAGCTCCTCATTCCACATAGCATTTCACCACCCAGCACCCAGTTCCCTTGGCACGCCACCCCAATGGTCTGAAATCCCCAGCATTGCACCACCGAGCACATGATGCCTCTGGCACCACATCGCCCAGAACTCCATACTTCCAGCACTCGCCCTCATACACTGACACACCCATGGCACTTTCACCCCCTCATTGGCTGATTCCCTTGTCACTTCACCCTCCACCACCAGTGGACCTATCCCCTTATACAGTTCTGCTTTGCTATTCCAGCTGTCAAGTGCCCAGTGCTGGATTCTCCGGGCAGGGGCGGATTAAACTGCACTCACTGGCATGGAGACTTCACATATAACTCCACCTGTGCCTTCTCCTGTGAGATGGGTTTTGTGCGGAATGGATCGGAGAAGCTGGAGTGTACGGCCCTGGGACAATGGACAGGGCGTCCCCCACGCTGTGAAGGTACGGTACAGGCTATATGCTGCAGGACTGGCTTGGGAAGCTACTTCTGCTCACATGGTAGGAAGCACTGTGGCCTTAGAAAGTATGAATTTACAGAACTGAAAAGCAAATCAAGGAAATCTTAAACCCAGGATTTGGAGCCCCTGTGATCACTAACAGGAAACTCTGTAACCGCTGTGATAATATAAGCTAAGCCCAGGATTTCCAGTGCTGTGGGCTGTTGCAGATGTTGTGGAGCAATCTGTACTGTTCTGCTTTGGTATTTCAGCTGTTGCGTGCCCAGGTTTGGCTGCCCCTGGCAGAGGCCGATTAAACTGCACTCACTGGCATGGAGACTTCACGTATAACTCCACCTGCGCCTTCTCCTGCGAGATGGGGTTTGTGCGGAATGGATTGGAGAGAGTGGAGTGCATGGCCCTGGGACAATGGACAGGGCATCCCCCGCGCTGTGAAGGTAGAGGCACAGCATTAACTGTGGGGTGTGTGGAATGTACATTGCTGAGCTGGTGTGAGCCCAGGTGACTTTCCATAGGGGACCAGTTCTTTGCCAGGTCTAGGGAAGAGAGCTATTGTGTACAATGGTTTGAGAGCCAGGGAACTGTTCCTTTTGATCTGGGGCAGCTGTGCAATATAAAGCTTCATTGAGAGAAAGTTTTGTAATTGGGAGACAATAGATATGGGTCACCATTGCTCTGCCCCTTGGGCAGCCATTTACACCAGTGCAAAGTGTGTGCAAATTGGATGCAATCCCTGGCAACACAGTTTATCCCTCCAGCACCTTATCTCTTAACACACACATGATATCCTACCTTCATGATCCACCAGTCCATATTCCTGGCATGCTGCTCACCTGCACCCCATTAGCTGCCACCCAATCCGGCTGCACCTCTCTCTGGCATGCCATTTTACGTGGCCCCACATGCCCCTGGCCAGAACACTTCAACCAGAAGCTGCTCCAGACAATCTGCCATCTAAGCAAAACTTCAGTGTGTCATCCCCTTCTCATAGGCCTAGGGCAGCAGATTTGGCTTGGCTGTGCTTCTGTTATGTCAGGAAATAGAGGGCACCTGGGCTAAATTTTAGTGAATGACATTGAAACTGGGTGCGCAGGGTCACAATACCACTCTGATTTGGCCAGGTCACCCCCCACTCCCTCAGCATGATGGAGGGGCAGCCAGGCCAAATCAGCCCAAAAAATGATTAGGGGTCTGGAGCACATGACTTATGAGGAGAGGCTGAGGGAACTGG